AGTATTTATGCATATTTAGAGTCACAGAAATATGCATTATATACATTAGCCTTCGGCCTTAAAAGGCATTAAATTTCCTATTTGGTTAAATTTAACAAATGGAACTAAATTTAGGCCTAAAAGAAAACATAAGAAAGCCTTTTACCAGCTCCCAAGTAACTCAGTGGTTTGTTGTTTTTTTTTTAATGTATAATTTCAAGTATTTGTGTGTATGTTTGTAACCTCATTAATGTTAAGAAATTTGATTGTAGCTATTGAGATCCTATTACATCCCCTATGACTACTCACGGGGTGGAGAGAGTAACTAATGCACATTAGCTTACTATGTTATTATAAAATTGGGGTTTTTTTGAAGGGGGAGAGAATTGCAGTGCATTGGGGCAATCTCTTCCTTTCCTTCACTCTTCTGTCTTCCTGTCCACTGTACGAAAAGCACTGCCCACAAAGAAGAGAAATTATTGAATGCATAAATCACGGGGTGGTGTCAGAGACTGAAATGGTTAATGATTTATGCATTCTAGGAGACTTTTGCAGGCTTTTGACTTGCATGATACCTCTGATGAGCAGTCAGGCCCCTCCCTCCCTCCAGTGCTGAAGGTGGGAAGGCCTGAAAAGGCAAGAGCTGAGCTTGAAGGCTTTTGACTGTTGATACCTCTGCTGAGCAATCAGGCCCCTCCCTCCCTCTGCTAATCTTGAAAGGCGGGAACCAGTCGAGACACAGAAAAACTCAGCACACAGACCTAGGAGAGGTTGGAGGCTCGAGGCACGGCCCGTGACACCAACCATGGATATAACCCATAACTTCTTGGAGTGTGGGGGCTTCCCTCCTTCACCCCCAGCAGATCAAGGCCACCACTTCAACTGACACACATGGAAGCATCGCTGGACCCCGTGGGCGGTGACTATAGACATCTGTCCACCCTCAGCTTTTCTTTCCCTTACTCTCCCTTGCTCTTATCCTGCCTTTCTCTCCCCTATACATTTTCTTCCCCTCCCCCAAAGGCTGTCTCTGTGTCACACTGTTGTATGACAGTACCCAAACTGCTAGCATGCCTGTTGATACAGAATTGTTAAAATAAACCTTGCCAGTATATGTTTTCAGACACCAATTATTTAGTGTCGTTTCACTTTAATCCACTCCAAGGGAATTATTGATAAAAACCTGAGTTACTCCCTCTCCCCTTTTCTTGGGGCGGGCCGTAACACCTGGCTCCATGGAGGGGGTCTGGAGGGGGTTCAGGTGGGGCCACAGGGACACGGGAGGGGTCGAGGGGGGGTCACAAGAAAGGGGGGGCTGAGGG